AAAGACTTAACAAACACACACCAGGCTCGTTAGCAATTATTAGCAAATAATCTTCTAATTCTGACTACGAAATGAAAGCAACTCCCACCCACCCCAAGAGCATAGCGATGTGATCGTTGCTCCCAGAGATGCGCCGGAGAAATCCATTTGTTCCCGCAATGAGCAAACATAATCTGCTGTTCTTTTCTTTGCCTCGGCGGCTGTGATAGCTGTTCCCATGAGAGGGGAGGATAGCAAGGCCTTCTATTTAAGAGCTGGGGGGGCTCTCAGAGCTATGGTATTCTCACAGTCGATCACCTTTCCTGCGGCAACCTTGGATGTGTGGCATGTGGGCCTCATAACAGGGCAGTGGTGCCTGTCTGATCTGGTTATGGCCCTGCCCAGTTTGTGTGAAAGAAGCATCCCCTAGCGCACCAGTGAATCTGGAATTGTACTAGCGGCGTGCCCTCTCCTTCCGGTTCGTTCTTGCCATTGGAGAACTTTCTTTTGGGCTGCAGGACATGTAGATAAATGAATGCTTGTGTATGTGTGGAGAGAAGCAGAGCAATGCATATGAGCAAGCTAATTTTGGAGGTGCATAAAATTCAGGAAACAGAGGTGCCCTGCTGATGATGGATCTCTTTCCGTTTTGTAAACACCCCCGTCACTCCCACGCTGAAGAGCCTCTGTGCCGGCCTCCGAGGGTCAAAATGGCTGGGCTTTTGCAGCCGGTGTGTTTTTCTCAATTGCTTGCTCCTCACGTCCTCTTGACTCTGCATGAACGTGTGCTTGTTACTTTAATATGCCTTCAGATGTCACGGGCTCTCCATCCTTCTCAAAGCCGAGGCTTCCTTCTGACAGCTCTTGCTGCACGGAAGGGGAGAGGAACAAACGAGAAATGCAGTGCACGTTGCCGGGGTGTGTGGGAGCTGCGAAAAGCAAGCTGGCTGGGTGGGGACGAGAGTTTCTCCCCTCTGTCGCTTTCGGGAGACGGTGTCGAGTGTTGCCGTCTGTGCATCCCAAGACAAGAACCAGCAATCTCTTCCCCTTCCCTCCCTCCACCCTGAGTAGCTTTAGCCCTCCTTGTCACTGTTCAGATGAATTTGAGACTACTTTCTGCACGAATGTTGGACGTCGGAATTGAGAACGCTTTGAAGCTTCTCTTGAGGGGGAAATCCGGCCACTCTTGAGGGACACAGGCAAGCGGATCGGACGCTGCCTGCCTTGGCATTTGTTTAAATGAAGGTTCCCATCTCGTCTGTCTTCTCCCCCATTCCTCTCTCTCTGTCCCAAGACTCCTGGAGGCACCAGGAGAGTTTTCTGAGGGGAAAATCCGGCCAGTCTTGGGGGACACAGGCAAGCAGACCAGACGCTGCCTGCCTTGGCATTTGTTTAAATGAATGTTCCCATCTCGTCTGTCTTCTCCCCCATTCCTCTCTCTCTGTGTCTGAGTCTCCTGGGGGCACCAGGAGATTTTTCTGAACTGAATGATGTGTAGTCATTACCCAGTGACGGGGCATTGGGGTGCTCAGCTTAGAAAGAAAGAGGTCACACAGATCCTCCGTGTAGCTTTCTCCAAGGTCCTCTTCTCCCAGCCTAACATCTTTCTGCCCGAAATCTGGGGGTGCGTGTATGGTGTCATGGGTATTTGCAAAGTCAGGCAGCGGCATTTCCTCTGGAGCTAAGAACCTGAGGGAGTGGGGGGAACCGGAGAGGAAAACCTGCCCTTACTCTGCTGCAGGCGCATTCTAATCTCTCCCGCTGTCAGTCCAGGGATTTAAAATGCCAAGAGAGGAAAACGTCTGGGAGTCTGGCCGCCTGATCCTATTTATTTAAGATGCTTATGCCCCGTGCTTAGCGTGTCGCTCTGAAGGCAGAGCCTTCCCAAGAACCCTTCTGTGTGCGTGCAGGGTTTAGATAAGGAAGCTGGGAATATTGTGTAGATCTTTCCAACTGGCATAGCCCACAGTTAACCGCCCAGTTGGAGACAACGCCTGAGAGCATCCTTCAAGCCAGCTGGCCAGTTTGAGCATTGCTTGGAAGGTACAAAGCTGGGGAAATGCTATTTTCTTGGATAAGTTGGCATCGGCACAGGCAAGCGGTGGAGAAGGACTAGAGGAATTAGGGGGCTAGTGAAAGGGCAGCTAAGCGTATAATTTCTTTACATTTCCTGGCTTGCCCTGAACACACACCCTGGAAACCAAAAACCCGTGAAAATTCTATTTTGTGTGTGTGTGTGTTTGTTTAGCATATTTTTATCTCTAAGAAGCTCTGGGCGGCATACTCGGATCTCTCCTCCTCATTTTATCCTCATAACAGCCCTGTGAGGTAGATGAGGCTGAGAGAGAGTGAATGGCCCAAGGCTACCTAGGACATTTCATGACAAGAGGGGGTTAGTCCGATATTCTGCTCCACCACACTGGCTCTATTGCAGCTATGCTGCAAGTGTTGGTGGAAGGTGCCGTCAAGACACAGCCAACTTATGGTGACCCCTCATGGGGTTTTCAAGGCAAGGGATGAACAGAGGTGGTTTGTAGTCGCCTGCCTTTGTGCAGCAATCCTGGATTTTCTTGGTGGTCTCCCATCCAAATGCTAACCAGGGCCAACCCTGCTTAGCATCAGAGATCTGGGGAGATAGGTTAGTCTGGTCCATCAGGCCATGAACATGTTGACATAATGGTACCTTCTTGCAATTTTAATTTCCAAATGTGGAGGCGCTGTGGCATTTCTCCAGTCAGTTTCCCAGAAATGCTAACTAGGGCCAACCTTGCTTAGCATCGGAGATCTGGGGAGATAGGTTAATCAGGCCATGAACATGTTGACATAATTGTACCTTCTTGCAATTTTAATTTCTAAAGGTGGAGGCGCTGTGGCGTTTCTCCAGTCAGTTTCCCAAATTTCTGCTTCCTTCCACCCTCTTCTGAGTCAGATTATCTCTTGCCCCTCTTGAGGAAGGAATTCCTGAGGATGTGGAGGTGCTAGAAAGAGGAGACAGGAACGGAAGGTCTCAGTGCTGGTTGTGCTAACAGAAGCAGGAAAAGTCCATCTCCTTTTGACTTGCTTTGGTCACACTCACATAAGGGAGCATAGTAGAGTCTTAGTAGGGCGGGCCATGGCTCAGTGGTGGAGCATCTCCTCGGCATGCAAAAGGTGCCTGGTTCAATCCCCAACATCTGCAGTTAAAAGGATCAGGGAGCAGGTGATGTTAAAGACGTCAGCCTGAGACCCTGGGGAGTTCAATCCCCAACATCTGCAGTTAAAAGGATCAGGGAGCAGGTGATGTTAAAGACCTCAGCCTGAGACCCTGGAGAGCCGCTGCCCGCCTGACCTCGATGGACCAAGGGTCTGATTCAGGACAAGGTAGCTTCACGTTTGTTCATGTGTTAGTGCTGTTTGGAGTTAGATTATTTTTCTCACTGCTGCACGGGCTGGCTCTGTCAACCAAATAAAGCAAAGATGTATTATGCTGTATTATGCTGGAGTGTCATTTTTGGATAGCCCTCCTGGCAGATCTGTTGCTGAAAGGGTGTGACTCACGGCAGACAAATGGTTGGCGCAAAGCATCGCATTCTGCTGGGATAATGCTCTCTTCTGGCTGCTGGCTGCAAATAAGCCAGCTAGGAGTGATAAATGGAGGGAGGAAAGATTTGTTTTGTTGTTTGTCTCTAGTAGCACAGATGGGCACTGGAGAGCCAGGGCTTTAAAAAAAAAAATGGGCCCCCCCCCCCCCCTTGCTGTTGACTTCAGATTTTGCATCCTCAGACTGCAGCTTGGGAAAATTATCCCACATTTGTTAGTTAGCCCAAGGTGTCTTATGTATAAGATCACAGGACCCACACCACACCTGAAAACCACCACATCTGAAATATATAACCATGAAACAAACCAACAGCTTTGATTGGACCAGGACTTGGGAGACCCCAGTTCAAATCCCCACTCTGCTGTGGAAGCTCTGTTGGGTGACCTAGAGCTGGTCACAAACTCTCGGCCTAACCTACCTTACGGGGTTGTTGTGAGGGTAAAACAGAGGAGCGGAGAGGATGGTAAGCTGCTGTGGGTCCCCACTGGGGAGAAAGATGGAGTATAAACGAAGTAAATAAATAAAGCAATAACAAAAAGCATGCTTAAAGTTCACAGGACAGGTTACACATCAAGGCACGTCTCTATCATAGAAGAGCCCCCCGTAAAAAGGCTGTTTCCAACACCCTGCAGAAGGCTGGCAGCTTCAGGACTGCTTGTGGGAGCAGAGTGGGGAGAACACTTGGAAACACTGGGCAGGAATGGTTACGGTGTGCACGGATGGTGCCTGGGTTCATATAACCCCCACGGATGAGTACAGTGGTGTCCCGTCAACAGGCAGTTCCCCCTCCCTTACATTTGGTATATGAATTTTGTAATTTATTGGGTTGAATAAAGATATTATTTTTTAAAAATTCCCAAACAGCAAATTGCTGCACAGAGCCGAACACTGGCCAGAAGTATCAGGCAGGATTTATGGAGAAGGGAGTATTAAAAGCCTCCTCCTCCCCGCATTGCATTTACTATCAGACAAAACATTTGAGACAGCTATAGTTAGATTTCCAGACCAGGACTGGGGAGCCCTGTGTAGAGATTCCCACTCAGCTATAACTTTCTCTGGTGACCTGGGGCCAGGCACTCTTTTTCTCAGCTTAACCTTGCCTTGCAGGGCTGTTGTGAAGATAGTCGGGGAGAACCACATCGTCCACTATGAGCTTCTTGGGGGGGGAAGGAGCAGGACAGAAATGTGAGACAATGAAAGGCAGTGGGGTAGTCCTGTGCAATGCCATGATTTAATTTACGTTGTTGTTCTCGCTGTTAGTTTGTTTCCCAGGTCATACTTGTGGTACTTGAGGTCAGCCCAGATATCTGAAATCAGACCTTGTGCTAACAGGGGAGAGCTCTCTTTCTCCTTTGGACAGACAGGAGAGCTGGTGGCATCAACAGGGCCGTTGGGGAAACTGAAGCTATTTCACTGAGACCTCTCTCTCGCTCTCTTGCAGCTTGAAAGCGATCCTGGTGGGGAATCCGCGGGACAACACAGTGGACCTGTCCGGCATCCCTCTGACGATGAAGGAACTGGACCGGATTGTCTCCTACTTGCAGAACAGCGCGGAGCTCATAGAGAACGTGGAGCTCTGCTTCACCGAGCTGACGGATGAGGTGTTCCTCCAGCTCTTGCCGGTGCTCAGTGGCCTGCCACACCTCATGACTCTCTCCCTCAACGGCAACCGGCTTACCAAGGCCATCCTCCGGGACCTGACGGAAGCCCTGAAGGACCCCAAGAACTTCCCCAGCATGACTTGGATTGACCTGGGAAATAACGTGGACATTTTCTCCCTGCCACAGCCTTTCCTGGTCAGCCTTAAGAAACGGTCCCCCAAGCAAGGCAACCTGCCGACCATTCTCGAGTTTGGCGAGGGCCAGGTGAGTGACCTGGAAAGCCAAGAGACCCCAGTGGAGAGCCAAGAGTATCCATGCTCGGAGGACGAGGACAGAAACGATCGTGTGGACGATGCAATGCTCAGACAGGTACGGACATGTGAGGTGATTGAAGTTCGGCTGCTGCCGAGTGACTCCCCAGCTCCAGGGGAGGCCATTCCTGTAACGATTCAGACATGAAGTGCCGCCACCTCTCGTTGGACCAAGATGCTCCAAATAGATACCTCAACAGCAAAAAGTTCTTAGCCAGACTCTTGTGAGGCTACAGTTGTAACAAGGAATGCCAACCCCAGTTTAGTTTTAGAGGACCAAAAAGTAGGGACCAAATTGCAAACCCTGCTTGTACTCTTCGAATTCCGAGTGGGGCAAGCTACGCTTTTGATTGGTTAAGACCCAAAGTCTTGTCACTGAGGCAGATGCGACCGTTGTCCAAAGTCTTGTCACTGAGGCAGATGCGATCAATGTACAGATGACCGTTGCCTCACTGGTCCTAAAAAATGAGAGACGAAAAACCTGAAGAGACGCTTTTTAAGTCCCCTGTGGTTTCACCGGGAGAGGGAATCCGTGGGATTTTAAAAGGTTAACCTTTGGCAGGAGTGCACCTCTTCTGTTCAAAGGATAGCTTTTGCACGATCCCTGTTAGGCTCTGTGGGAATAAAGGTGAACAGCCCGATAGCTTATGGGTGACAGTGCCAGATGTCCGTTGCAGGTCTTCTCTGTGCAACGGCGGCAGTTCCTTCGTGCCATCTCGTGATCAACCCTGTCTAGCTGCTGCTTTCCATTCCTTGGATTTCCCACCACTGTGACAAGAGAGGAGAGGCTGCGGAGAGGAGTGTATATCCCAAACTCAGCTCTGGGGTCTCAATTCTCACTAGCCTTAGAGGTACCTCCTTCCTTTCGAGTGCGGAAGGGAACTGCTGCCTTCCCAGGTCTTGTGGTATTCCAATCCCCTGTGGAATAAACGTTGGATTCTCTTGGAGGTCATTCGCCTGTATCGGTTCTCCGTGTGCATTCAGTGTTGTAGTTTTTGTAACCAAAAGTGCTTTCCTTCTCCCCCCCTCTCCAGAATCTTTGAAAAGAGCTGCTTTTTCTAAAGGAAGCAAGACCACTGATTTTTTTTCCCAAATAGGGACAAGCCTCTGTCCCACCAAAGTGCCAGATGTAAATGGGAGCCTAGTGGCAGATCGTTCTTTCAATAGCAAAAGGACCAAAGAGGTTTCCTGGCTCCTTCCGTTTTCAAAACCGACATCCATTTGCAACGTGCTGGAGTGCTTGCTGCCTTGTACAAGCCCCCCTTCCCCATTCCAAGGCACAAACGCAACCCACGTCTTTGGTCTGCCGGTGTTGCCGTCTGCAGTGTCTGCGCACGTCCTTTTCCAAGGGCCATTCCTGCCTTCGGTAGGAATTGGCAGCTCCAAATTCTGTCTTGATTTGCATGTAGCTGAAACTGTTGTTGTTTTTTTTAGTAAGCTTTATCAAACAGGTTATAACAATAAAACCTCTTATTTGAAATAACAAATGGCTTCTCTGCAATCCATTTTGAAGAATGGTGTCAAGAGGAGGAGGAGACTTTGGTTTGTTTCAATGACTGGTAGATGCAGCCTGGAAGGGTGCTTGCAATGACTAGAGAGAAAAGAGGCTATGCTATAAGATACCTGGCCAACCAGTTGACACAGGGGCCAAATACACCCACAGGCTGCCCCTAGGATATGTGGGACAACACGGGAGCTGGTGCAGCTTTAGTGGCTAGACTAGTATTGGACTAAGAATGGGGAGACCCAGGTTGAAATCCCCAGTCCCGTGGAAGCTCACTTGTATGACCCTGAATCAGTCATTCTCTCTTGGTCTACCCTACCTCACAGGACATTTGTGAGGACAGGACTGGAGAACTGTGTAGATGGCCCTTTCTTGGATGAAGAGCAGGATAACAATGCACTATATGAACAGATATGCTTATATGTCCCTTTTATGCTGCTGGGTAGATTGCCGCAGCTTGAATTCCCCATGGCTCATTGGCAGGGCACACTGTCCTATATGGAAGCCTGGGTTCAAAGGCTCTTAGCAGCCCGGCTCACAAAGACCTCTCATTGCCACCAAAACCTTGGGAGAGGTGTTGCCATTCACATTGCGCTAGGTGACTCACGATGCTGGTTCTCTGTGTTCAGATACGTTCTGGTCTTTTGAGAATTTGCCATGAGCCGCCCTTGTGTTTTTGGACTCTGCTCTCCATGGGGCTAGAAATGTGTCCTGAAAATGCGACTATTCCTAGAACGCTGCTCCCGATACTGAATCCTATGATCACAGATGTGCAGACTCCCCTATGAAAATAGCCCTAACAAACTGGGGCAGCAATAAATCAAAGAGTGGCGACACCACAGTGATCTTTTGAAAAACAGAAGCACTTCTTCACCTTCTCTGTGGAGGCACCTGTGGTCTGCTTCATCTTCGTTTTGTGGCCATTTGTACCCGAATGAGCAGCCCACTTGCTTCGGGAAGCGGAGCAGAAGGCGAGGGAGAGAGAGAATCTTGTAGGCTCTGCCGTTTGCCTGAGAAGTGCACGGTGCTAATTACTCCCTCGTCTGTTGGCGGAGCCTGAGAAGGATGAGCGTGTGATGGCTACATCTGCCCTTCCTGCAGGCAGAGGAGGAAGGCAACAATGGAAGGGTCTTTGGTTGCAGGGCACTGTTCCCTCCTTATGCCCCTGTGAACTCGCTGCACCAGAGGGGAGAGATCTGGCTCAGCCAGCCCTAGCCCTGTACCGGCTGCTTTGTACTCTTTTGCACAAAACTTTTTGCTGCCCTGCCTGCAGGCGAGCGCTGGCTGCCCAGGCCATGAGAGAACACAGAACTCAGAGGCTTGAAAAAAAATGGCACAGATGGCTGATTACACAGGATGGGCCAGGCAACTCATGAGAGGCCTAATTACAATGATGCACAGCTAGATGTGTCCGGAGAAATCTACAATTAGGGTCCCACGTGGTTTTTCAGAGGCTAACGTATTGAGAAGAGAGGGAGGGGGTTCAGTGAGGACGGTGGTACTGGGAGAAGGGTTTGTTCGGGAGGGACGGTACATTCCCCCCCCCCGTACCAAAATAGCCCCCTCAGAGCTCTTCTTTGCTCTGTGGGGAAACTTTGGAAGTTGAACCGCTGTCATGCAGGGAAACATCAGCCTCATGTCGACTGCATAGAGGGAGACGTACTGGTGAACGGTGGAAGCTGACATGCAGGTAAGGTAGAAAAGAGCAGAGGTCCAGTGGCACCTTAAAGACTAACAAAATCTGTGGTAGGGTGTGAGCGTTCATGATTCACTGTTCGCTTCTTCAGATACATACAGCTAGAATGCAGGTAAGGATTCAGTTATCCAAGCTGACTCTATCCCATCGAAAAGCCCACCCATTTTCTGGGCTCTGCAGAGGACGATGGTGCAGGCCCTGGGGAAGTGGTGTACAGAAACTGGCGTACCACTGCTGCTCATTCTGCCCTCTCGGGACCTATCTGCAACCACAGTTTAGGTCTACCGTCCCTCAAAATTCTCCAGTCCTTTCAGGAGCCTAGTCCTACCAATGCTTGTTCTGCAGCTGGGGCCCCTGGACACAGCGTGGAAATAGCCCGCTTGGTCTGTTTAAACACACCAAGGCTGCATCTTTGAACCACCTGCTTCTGCCCAGTGCAATCCAGGAGACTCACGTCTAGAAGTGTTTGATGGCTTTCTTTAACCATTACAGTGCTAGCACAGGAACCAGTGCCTCCGACAGAACTAGCAGCCATTGACATTAGGAAGATCTCTTTCTAAGGCTGTGTGTCTGGCACACTGCTCATGCATACCTACAGGTGGAAGTAAAAGTCTTGCCTTCTTCCCAATTTTAAAAGCTTTTGGGAAAAGGCCCGGCAATTTTCATAAACGTGAGATGGAAGTGTGCTGCACATGATGGAACCTAGCCATACAATAGGCACAGAGAGTCAAGATTTGTAGTGCAAACAGTAAAGGTAAAGGTTCCCTTGCTCGAAAGCCAGTCGAATCCAACTCTAGGGTTGCGGTGCTCATCTCCGTTTCAAAGCCGAAGAGCCAGCGCTGTCCGAAGACGTTTCCGTGGTCATGTGGCCGGCATGACTAAACACCAAGGTGCACGGAACGCTGTTACCTTCCCACTGAAGTGGTACCTATTTATCTACTTGCAGTTTCTCGCTTTCGAACTGCTAGATTGTCAGGAGCTGGAACTAGAGACGGGAGCTCACTCCATCATGCGGCACACTCGGGTCTCGAACTGCTGAACTACCGACCTTCCACAGCCTGCAGTCCAGCGTCTTAACCACTTGAGCCACCGCAGCCCCAGTGCAAACAGTAGCCTATCCCAAAATAGCAAAATAGGAGTTCTGGGGCGCAAGAATTGTATTTGGCAGCAGACACATGAGAACAATAAGAGGCCAGATCCTGCTGTAATGTTTATAGTGCCTATACTGGGATGGGTGAAAAAGGACAAGTTAAAAGATGCAGCCAAGGGCCCCGGATTATGAGTGGGCCTTTAAATATATGTTCTTTTTTAATCGAATGATCAGTTTTTGGGGACGCTGCTAAGCTTGACCTTGCATAGGGCTTCATCTTGTCTTAATCCCTCCCTGTCCACCAAGTGGGTCTGGACGGCCCAGAGACCCTCTTGTCACAGAAACAAAAACTAAGAACCTTGTACTCTTTACAAAATAAAATGACTACATAAGGTAATTCCCCCCTGTGTTACTCTACCATGGTGCCAGCACAGTAGATCTTCCTTCTTTCTTTTGGGGTGTAAGATCATCAGCATACCAGATTTCATATCAAAATCAGACTCTGCGACTTTCCCAGCCTGGGAGGAATGATTTACATATTCTCTCCTGCCGAGACTCAGCATTTTGTAGGGCTCCGGGAAGTGAAACAGAAAACGCAAAGGAGTTGTTAATATGCAAGAAATTCTGTGGCTGCAGGATTTTACATAATTGAGCTTCTCCTCCAGGCAGAGGGATCTGTCTGCCAGTGTTCTAAGAGCTCATGTCAAGATTTCAGATGCAACAATCTGATCTCCCAAGTACTTGGAATGAAACAAGATGGGTTGACCTTGACTGTAAAAAAAAAAGCTTCAAAAAATCAATCAGACAGAGCAGCAAGGAGACCTAACAAGCTAACTGAGCAGGCAGTTAAGATTTTATCTAAGGAAGAAAAAGTAGAAGCACTGATTTAAACCCCCCCCCCAAGAAATCTTGATTTTGGAAAGAACCTCTGGTCAAACATGCTGCTAGAGTGTAAGGACATGGCCTTTTCGGGAAAGCAGTCCACAAACAAAAAGGTCTTGGTGATTAAAGTAGCTTTCGAAGCCATGGAAAAACATTTTCTGGTGTTAAGAATGCCACAGATTATAC